TATGAAATATTTTAACATTTTAATTTTATTCAAAAGTTAATTAATGCAATGGAAAGGGTTAGCGATAAGAAACGTTTGATTGGCTTTTCGTGTGGACAACAGTTTGTGATGACTCCTATGATTGCATTTAAAGTATGAATTTAATTAAATCAATACTAAATTAATATTTGATGTGTTTTTGTTGTAATAGACAGTTGTAATGATTGGACGCTTTTTTATATTGACTACAAAGCTGGAAACTAGCATGAGATAATTTAATATTAGTTTTTATAGAACTTTCATATTATTATTATTATTACAGAAGAATCTAAATTATTATATTATGAATTATGAAATTATTGATATTAGAATATAATATATATGTATTATTATAATTCAATTTTATAATTGTAAATATAAATGTAATTGAAAATTGGGTGGACGCGTACCAAGCAGTTTATATATTTATAAAAATAAATTATTGCAAAATAAATCTAAATTTATACAATTATTGATTGAAAAAATAGTTGAATAATTTCTTAATTACTTTCCATTACGTAAAATGAATATGATATATAAATATCTGATTTATTTAGTGTGTTATTCTTATTATGGTTTTTAAACGCATAGTGTTTCTCATAAGTAAACATTCAAGTCAACAATATGAATGCCATTGAATTAATGATTAGAAAATATGGTTTAATTTGTGATTACAGAGTCAACGATAGGCTAATCGTTGAAAGATTTAGAAATTCCCATAAAAAATACATTCATTTACTATTGAGAGCATTATATTCTGTATATTACACGATATGTCTGTTATCCATGAAAGAGGGAAAGTTAGCCAAGTATTACATGGATGTCGTCCAGTATTTCGGTAGTGATGTCCGTTATATTTATGTGATCGGCATTTCAGTGGCCGTCAACTCTGCTATTTGTGTTTATTGTCTCAATTTTAATTATAATAATGGCTACGAATGGCTTAAAATTATTCATGGCTTTAAATCCTATAACATTATGTCTGTTCTGGGAATCACTGATTTTCAAGAATACGTCAGATTTGAAAGAAAAATCTTGTTTTTGAGCAAATTTTTGAACATTTTTACGAATACTGCTATTATTTCATTTAGTTTTATTATATCGATAACAACATTATATGTGTTTAATTTAGTTGATTTTATTCTGTATGGAGTATTAAGCATTTCTATCATGACACTTATGGGCCATTTGTCCGCCCATTCAATTCCACAAACATTTTTCCTCTATTATATTGTTTGCGATTTTTGTAGAATTCGGTTCAAAATCTATAATAAATTACTTAGAAATTATATTAGAAGTGAAAGTATTCACAAAATGAGACATAAATTTAATATAAAACAAATGGTAGAAAATCATAACAATATTTGCAAAGAAATTAAAAATATGAACAAATTCTGGAGTAATTATTATTTGGGAGTAGTTTTCACTACTTTTCCAATTAATATACTGTCGTTGTATGAGATTTTGTTCGTTGACTTCAATGATATGTTTTTGGTTTCTTGTTTTTACCTCATTTTCATTACATTCTTCACGTTTGATATGATCTTAAATCTGATCACATCTGCCATCAATAGGGAAGCGAATAAATCCTATTATAATTTATATAAACTATTTTTACTCTCATATCTGAATATCAACTACAAAATAAAGGTTTGTTTCTATTATTTATTTTTATTAATAATAATAAATAACTAATAAATTTAAGCTATTCTTTCAGTTAACTAATGCTATCGAAAAGGTTAGTAATAAACGTTTTATAATAGGTTTTTCGTGTGGCAATCAGTTTGTTATGACTACTTATATAGCATTTAAAGTAGGTTTTTGATTATAATATAATGATTATTATATTAACTTATGATACCCTTTATCCACAATTAATTATGATTTATTTTGCATAGATTATTTTACTAATGAGCAGATATTTCATATTGGTTATTAAAATGAGCAGCAATCACGGCTAAATTTTAATTATCTTATTTATAACAGAAATTATATTATTTATCAATTCACAATCATTGTAATTCATATAGGTATTAATACAATTACAGTACTTTATTTAATTTATAATAATTATTTAAAAATAATAAAAATATGTTATTTAAATATATTGAATAAAAGAATACGTATCTCTATTTCTAGCATATAAGTTGAGGGTCAATGAAATGTCAATTTATATTTTAAAATGATAAATTGTTTAATAAACCTAAAAATCAATACAGTTATTGTCAACATCTTGATTTAAAAATAAATTCTAATGTAAGCTATACAGAATTTTGCAATCTGTTTTTGATATTCACTAATATAACTACCTTAATGAATTGTTATAAACATTTATTTTATGAGTGCAATATTGTATATTCTATTAAAATGTTTTATTTAAAAATTTGAATCAATAGTGTATTGGTCTATATTTTGAATTGAATGTTAATAACAAGTATTAAAGTGAACAATGTTTAAGAATAAAGTTGTAACCAATGTTTATGAAAACAATGACAGATATCTATGTAATATTGAACATAATTTACATAAAAGTGGACTAATTCTTGAATATAGAGTAAATGGTGGACTAATTGTGTGTCGCTATAGGCATACAAACGAGAAATATTATCAAGTGCTTTTACGTATATTGTATTTAATTTATTACACAACATGTTTGTCAATAATAAACAACGGAAAGGTTCCCAAATGGATGTTTGAATCCACACAATATATGGGCGGAAACATTGAATTTCTATACATTATTCAAATCGTCTTCATTTTAATGACCGCTCAAATTGTTTATGTGTTTAATTTCGGTGACGACAAGAGTTACCAATGGCTTGAATTACCACACGCTATGAATAATTACTACTCGCTTAAGGCATTGGGTTTACGAAGTTTTACCGAGATTTTGGCCTTTAGGAAAAGGACCGTATTCATTTCCAAATATTGTTTAAGTGATTTATATTGCAAAGTAATTATTATATTGATGTTTATCGTATCAATGGTTGCCGTTGTGTTTGTGTATAGTATAGTAGATCTAATATTATACGGTATAATCAGTTCACTAATCATTACATTATTGGGTTACGCAATAGTACCGGTCGTTTTTAACGCAATGTTATCCTATTATATTGTATGCGATTTTTGTCGAATTAGATTCAAAATATTAAACCAAATGTTAAAAATAAATGTCAAAAATCGTAGCCTTTTTGATATGAAGTTTATGGACGGCTTAATGAGAGAACACAACAGCATTTGCCGACAAATCAAATGCTATAACCAATTCTGGTGTCGATATTGTTTGGCCATAACCTATGTCTCAATACCCGGCAATATATTAATGTTGCATCAAATCCTCTTCAGCCGCAGCGGTAATGTCTTATTGCAGATGATATTTGTAATGGCATTTCTCTCATCATTTGCTAACATTAATACATTGAATCTCTTGAGTTCGGCTATCAATAAACAGGCGAACAAATCATACATTAATTTGATTAAATTTAAAGCTTACAAACCGTTGCGTTTAAGACAACAAATTGATGTTTGTAACTTTTTGTGACAAGAATATGTTATTTATTTACATTTATTTATCTTATATTTTTAGATAAATAATGCCATCGAAAGAGTTGGAAATAAAAACAATTTAATTGGCTTTATGTGCGGCAAACACTTTCTAATGACAACTAATATAGCATTTAGAGTGAGTATATATTCAGCAAATATACTATTAAAATAATGTTTACTTAATTTTGAAGCAAATTAAATGTGTGTTTTGTTTAATATTTAGATAATACTACTTTTCGGTCGCTTTTTCCTATTAATCCACAAATTGGGGAACCGTTTGGAGACAATTGAGTTCATAAATAATGATAAACTAAATACCATTCACTTTAACACATAGTGAATACAAATACTGTAAAATATATAACAAAAAATATCGTATATTAGATAAATTTAAATAAGGATTTAAAGTTTTAATTCTTTGTATATTATCTATGAATTCATCAAATTATTTAAAATGCTATAACTTTTTTGATGTTTATTAGAATACTAAACAAACAAGAAATAATAAAATGAGGTTTTTTAGTGCAATCTTATCAACAGATAAATACAGATTTCACATGAATTTGTGACAAAAATTTGTTTGTTATTAAAATTCAAATAATAGGACAGAAAATATGACAGCAATTTGGAAAAAATTATAGTTTTATCAAATTTCAAATCATATTAAGTGAAGAGTAGTTGACGTGAAAATTATTAAAACAAGATATTTCACTATTAAAACTCAAAAACTGTTTGAAATTTTAATTAAAATTTTTGTAATTATTTGATTTAAGATATCAGTTTTTATTTTTTACATTTTTATTTAAAATAAAAAGCTATTAATAAAAAATTCTATTAATCAACATAAAAATATATGGGAAATAATAATTTATTTATTAGAATAAAAGAAACATTTAAAACCCATAACTATCTATGATCATAAATTAAAATTTATCATTTGTTTTTAAAACAACAGTTAATATATTATAAAATACTTTTAACAATATTTTTAATTACAAAAGAGTGAAATACAAATCCCACATAACGTAAGCCTTGAAATCAAATTCATAGATAAGAGTTGGGATTAAATGCCAAAAATAAAATTATTTAATTACTTTTGAGATGTCTTCAATCAGAATATTGAAACATTTTTGTTCCTAAAATGAAATACCCTTTTCATGTAAATCACTAAATGATAAAATCTGTTATAAAATTCTGGATTTTCCTTAAAATTAATACACATAAGAGAGAGAGAGAGAGAGAGAGAGAGCCTAAAATGATTTTAATCACGTAATTGTGACTTAACTTTTCTTAACGCACCGGTAATTAATAAAATATCTATGCGTTTAAATGCTTATGAATTGGCAATCCATGCAAACATTGATTATAAGTGCACATAATTTTGGGAGTCGTCGGTGGAAATGGAGTGAAAGTTCACCGCATTTATTATGCATCCAATGCTCCGTTTGCTGTCAGGACTTATGGCAACAGGTATTTGAAAATATGACCCAATTTATGGACCAACAGAGAGGAGGGCTTTTAATGATGGTTTGTGTGATATGTTTATGTGCTTACGACGAGAGAGAGAGAGAGAGAGAGAGAGAGGAAGAGGGAGAGAGTGAGAAATGGAAAGCAAAACTTGATTTTAGATTCTCTCAAATGTGGAACACTTTGATCTAAATATGTTTTCCACACTTTTTTGTCTCTACTTTTTCTGATGTCTGTCTTTGCAGTGATTTTTAATGGAAGAAAACTTAAATCAACAAAAGTGTGAAAACAATTAAATTTTATTTGAAAACTGTGTGACAATTATAATCAAAACAATTTTGATTTTTCTTTCAATAATCCCAGTCTTTATCCGAGTGTTTATGTTTTGAAGGCTGGACTCTGTCTGGTGTTTAAAAATTATATTTTTGCTTTTGTTGTCAACATTTATTTAATTAAAAAGCTTTGCCTAAAAGTATGCTTAAAAGTGATTAAATTTAACAAAATTTAAATGAATGTCAATTAAAAGTAATGACTGTTTTATCATAATATTTATAAATTTCTTTTTCAATTTTGTGAAGTTTTAAAAGTAGTTTTATTTATTTTTGTTTATTTAATAAAAGAAATTAAATTAAATATTGCCATAAAATGGATAATAAAGGGTTCAGTGATATTGAAATTATTAATAAAGACAAAACAAATTACAACACTTTTGATGACTCAAAACTAGCCATTGATGTCCGGAATCTGAATTTTGAATATAGTAAAAATGTTCACATTCTCAACGATATTCACCTACAAGTTCCCGAAGGTTTGCAAACTTATACCAAATATAACTTACTTTTACTTTTATTTTAAATGTTACCATTTTTAAAAATATCTTTATAATTTTTCTCTCATATCCTTTTAATTAATGTGTATAATATTTACATAACAAAAAACATTCAAAACAATTAGTGATATATTGTGATCTTTTCTAAACATCATTATTATATTCAGTTTTTGAATATAACTCAAAGAAGTTTAATAAAACAAAAACAACAATTTTAAATCCACAATAAGTTATTAATATAAACAATTACCACAACTAAAACACCATTCATTAAATTTATGAATAAGAAGAAAATATAATTAATGAATATTCATAATTAACACAATGATTTATAAAACATAATTAAAACAATTTTTATTATTTTTATTAAATAAATAATTAAAAATTGTAATCTTATGCTATCGTATTATAGCATAACATTAGATATACTAAAGGAAAATGTTAGCATTTTCTATAACTAACATAAAATCGCTATAAAATAAATGAATTTTACTTTTACCCCAATATTATAATTTATTATCAAAAATCTATACAAAAAAACCATAAGAAAAACTATTGCATTAAAATTAAGAAATATTTTAAACATTTAATTAATACTATTTTAGCCTTATTTTCTCATAATATAATCGTGAACTAAATGTATGAATTGTGAACATCAGGTAAAATATTCGCACTTTTGGGGCCGAATGGTTGCGGCAAAACAACACTACTTAGGATAGTGTTGGGCCGTTTGAAGTACAAACACGGATACATCAGGGTATTTGGCGAAGAGCCGGGCAGCGATCGGTCAGACATACCGGGCCCGGGGGTCGGGTATATGCCTCAAGAGATCGCGCTGTTCAACGAGTTTACAATACAAGAGAGTCTCACATACTATGGTATGATATACCACATGGAAAAGGATGAGATACGCGAACGAATCGACGATTTGCTGGATCTGTTGAATCTGCCCGAAGAGGGCCGACCCGTCAGTCAACTAAGCGGTGGTCAACAGAGGCTAACGTCGATCGCCGTAACGATGATTCACAGACCGAAACTACTGATCCTCGACGAGCCCACTGTTGGCGTCGATTCGCTTCTTCGGTGCCGTATTTGGCAGTATTTGGAGAAAATGTGCCGAAATTTTGGTTTGAATTTTATTTGAAAATACAATTGAAAATTCAATTGATTTTATAGTAAATTAACTGATCTTTTCTATTGTATTCATAGGAATAACAGTAATAATAACCACACATTACATCGAAGAGGCGAGAACTGCTCATAACGTGGGTTTTATGAACAACGGATGTCTCCTAAGACAGGCCAACCCTAACAAACTGATGGACGAATACTCGTGCCGTACACTCGAGGATGTCTTCCTCCGACTCTGTCGACAGAAAATGGCAGAAAACGAGTCCAAAAAGTTTTCCCAATTGAACTCAAAGCGCGAAAACACAGTCGAAGTGTATAAGAAAATAGACAAAACAGAGTTCATTGAGCCGTGCGTTGAATACACGGGCACTAAGAAGGAGCGAGGTCATAATTACAAGACTAGTGCCACCAAAAGCAACAAATTCATAGACAAAGACCGGCTGAAGGCGTTGATACTGAAGAACTTTATCCGATCCAAACGCAATCCATTGGTATTCATTGTGTTTTACTTAATACCAGTGATATCTCTATCGTTTTGTACGCTAACCATCGGTCCAAAGCCACAACACGTGACGGTTGCCGTCTATAACGGAGAGGCGGACCCGAAGCTATCGCAAGCCTTTGTCGACCGCATCGACAAACAATTTATACAAGAGATCTATTACCCGACCGCCGAAGCGGCCATCGAGTCGGTGGTCAAGGGATACAACGCCTACGCCATGACATTTCGGCCTAATTTTACCGACAGTTTTGAGACCAGAATGATATACCCCTTAGACTTGAACGACGAAGAGATCGAGGACTCAAAGATCAGACTTTACGCCGATATGTCTAATACAGTGGTCGGCACTTATGTCTACGACTATTTGTTGGAGACTTTCCAAGCATTCCTAATGGACTACAGTGTGTCCAAAGGCTATAATCCCATCTCATTCTCAATGCCCGTTAAGTTTGAACAACCGATCTTTGGTGTGAACGATCATTCATTCAAGGATTACGTGGCGCCGGGCATACTGTTGGCCATTACCAACACTTTACCCATCATTATGTCAGCCTTTTTGATCATTTTTGAACAGAAGAGCGGTTGTCTGGACAGAGCATATGTCGGCGGCGTTAAGCCCATAGAAGTGCTGTTCGCTCACATGATTCCTATAGTGATTGGCATTATATTTCAAGTGATGCTAATTATGTTCATATCGTTTGTCGTTTTTGGGTCCACTCTTCGGGGATCTGCTGTCGATGTCTATATACTGCTCTTTCTTCAGGGTCTGGAGGGCGCGAGTATTGGACTTTGCATGTCGTTAATACTTCCCGATGAAGTCTATGCTATGGTTTGTATTTTATTATATCATTGTAATTATATGTTTAATTATTATTAGTAATTATTAATTAAAATTTTTATTTACTTTTTAACTTCTTATAAATTATAATTAAGAATCAATAATCATTAATATACATTTAATTAATCATTAGAGCAAGGTTACTGTAATATTTTATTTTATATTTACTTTAAAACAAACTTTTTATTTACTAATGATCTTATATATTGTACAATAATGTACAATACTGTACAATAATTTTTAATTATATTTATTTTTAAATATACAGTATTTTAAATATGTTTCAATCCATATAAAATATTAAGGACTAAATCTAATACAACACATATTATTATTATTATCAAAGTTTTAAGATAAATGTATGTTTGATTCACAGATTGGTATATCGGCTCTGATGTTACCGCTATGGATCTGTTCGGGTGTGTTGTGGCCATTGGAGGCCATTCCCTATTATCTCCGACCCCTCACCTACTGGTCTCCGCTAACACTTCCCATC